GGCCCTGAGAGCCCATAATCTTAGCTTGTACTGTCCTTTAAATTATCTGTCATAAAGAGCAGCTACCGGGTAATTGAGGATCAAAATGAAATTGTACAATGAAATGGAAACTTGATGTATACGGGGTTACATATGGGAACGCGGGGGCTAAATCATGACCAATATCATGTTGAGCTCTATGTGAGGTCCCCCGAACTCAGATGGAATCGCATGCAGTACCGTAGGGAAGGACAGCAGTCTACATAAGGCCCTTTCCTGGATTGAATGGCCCGATATTGCGCGCAAGCCTTGGCTTCACACGTAGGATGTGGGGAATCAAATAGTGTGAAGATCTGTTGGTCAATATCTCGTTTTCTTCATATCCATTGAGGGTGTGAATGCAATCCTTCTGGGCGTTGAGGCCAAATCATGAAATCCGAGCCAACAACGGTGGGCACCGTCGATTAAGGCTGCACTCTCCAAATTATCCCTAAGCCCTGAACCTTAAACACTCAGATGCTTGCACTTTGAGACACAAAGGCCAAGCATCTTTGAGATGTAGTCCAGGAGGATGACTCCAAGTATTTCAACGTATATGTATATACATGTCTACACACATATGCACACAAATCCTACTTGGAGGGTCAGGGGGACTCGGTAAGTAGATTAATTAATAACCCCTGTATAAGCCATACAATAGCGCCCATTATCCCCCTTATTAACCTACGTACTGAGCCGCCATGACCCTAAACCCTGAACCCTAACCCCAAACCCTAAACCCTAAACGCTAAATGATACAGTAGTTTCCATTTTCTTTTCCATTATTATCCCAAAAAGTAGTTTCGGCTTTCCATTCTTGACCTACAGCATCTTCTCCTCGAAGATTTTTGAGCACCGCACCACCAGAGCTCAACACTTGACACCTTCGATGTAAACTTCAAACCTTAGGCCCCAAACCCGGGTTGAAGGGTTTAGGGTTTAGGGTTTATGGCTTGGGGTTTAGGGTCTAGGGCTTCGAGTTTAGGGGTTTCAGGGCTTAGGGTTTAGGGAAGACCTTCCACTGCGAGCTGACACTGAGGAGCCGGATGCTTTCCGCCAGGTTCCCCAGCGCTGAGGAACGTGAAAAGTGCCGGAAGACCTTTGAGGACAGGTCAAACAATGGATTGTAGAGGGATAATGAGAAAGTGTAACGTTTCATGTTGTAATTGGGTATATATTGGGGTTAAATATAGTGATAATGGAAAAGAAAATGGAAACTACTATCATGCGTTATATAGGGTCCTAAGCCCTAAACCCTAGGCCTTGAGGGATTTGTTGTAGGGTTCAAGGATTTATGCTTATTGCTTAGTGACCTGGCTGTGGGGTTATGAGTGCCGGCTCTAAGCTGTACCTACTTCTCGGCCATGTTTACGACAGGCTTACCATAAACCCTGTAGCTGGTTTCAAGCTTAAGCATTGAGGCTTGTGGTTAGTTTCAGGTGGCCCGGGATATATGGAAATTGTGTAGGAATCATACGTGTACAGGGTGTGAAGAAAGATCTGACATGAACCATAGGGTGCTGCAGCTACTTGGAGGGGCATGGGGACTTAGTAAGTAGGTTAATCAGGGGGATACTTTGTGTTATTGTATGGCTTAGAAGGGTTATTAACCAACTTACTATGTCCCCATGACCCTCCAAGTAGTATACTCCCCAAACTAACATGGAAACCCATGTAGTACGCTTTCAGAAGGACTGTAGTCTTTATAGAGCCCGTTTTGGGTTTCCATGCTATTTTCCGGGAGTGTAAGTGAGCTCGATAGGGTGTGACAGCCTTTCTGGTCTTTGGCCTCGACCGACTGGAAGTGCACGGTCATCCATCGTTCTACAACTGCACAATGGCTAGCTAAGGGTTCCCAACTGGAAAGCCTGTACACCACAATCGTGAACCTTGCACCCTAATCATTAGGGTTGAGGGTTCACGATTTGTGCAAGGCGGATCTGTGGAGCGCGGGCTTCTGTTCGTTTGTTAAGTGGCAAATTGGAATGCCTCTTTAAGGTTCCTTAGAATAGGGGCAGTGGTTCCCTGACATACCAAACAAAAGAAGGCAAAAACCCACCCCCGAACCCTAAGCCCCTAACTTTCTCGGGGTTGGTAGGGAAAATCCCTATACAACTGCCTTCCTTATTTCCCTTTTGACCCTGCTAAGAACCAGTAAGTGAACCTTATTTGTCGGGCCCTTTGAGGACTTGTGCCTGCTGCATTTCGGCGAGGTAGACATCCCGCACAGCATCAAAGATGCCAGAAGATGACCGAAGGCAGCTCAACACGGCTTAGGCTTTGGGGTTTAGAGTGAAGATTTGGGGTGGGGTGGTTTTTGGAGGCGTAAAGTTTATATACCCCAACTACAATCATCCTTGATAAAAGGAGCATTTTAGGGGACTCTTGTCCTGCGCTTTCGGGAGGGTCTGCTCATAGCTCCTATCCTTGTTATAAGGACCCTCCAAAAGCCGTTCATTTATGGGACTCTTGTTCTGCGCGTTCGAGAGGTACTGCTCATGGCTCCGACACCCGGAACTAGATGTACTCCCATACAAGATCTTCAACTCCACGGCAGTATTGATGTAGACTTCAGCGTCTAAAGTCTATATATGGACTTAGTGCCCCGTATATGGCGCGGGCACCCCACATGACAAAATTGCCCGCATCGTCCGGTACATTCCCAAAGCGTCCAGCTTACCCGTATAGTGTAGACTTCGGCCTGAAAGTACTCAACAACAGGTCTATCCTTCATATACCTCAACTACAGACCTAGAACCTGTTACGTAGTTCCTGTTTGGGTGGTGCATTGTAATCTCTTACCACAACCATAACACAACCAAAAAGGAATTACGTAGGAGCCTCTGGGTAAAGATGAACAACCTGAAGCCCTAAATCAGGCCATGAACCCTAAACCCCAAAGCCTAAGTCCCTAAACCCCTAAATCCCAAACCTTGCACCGCTTCGTCAGGTTTAAGAGTCTTGGGATCAACATCCTCAAACGGCTGGAGAAGACCGTGGACTCCCAGCAGCCGTCCCGAAACCAAGAAGATTCAGGTACCTAGGTAATCTCCTGGGTTTGGGGTTTGGGGTGGGTAGTTGGGGTTATTTAGGATTCAGGGTTTAGGGTCTAAACTCCTCAAATGGGGGTACATAGTATATAGGGGAGTATTCTTGGGGTTACTAAGGGAGATGCTTGGAGTGGGTAGTTAGGGCTATAGACCCCCAAATAATGGGTACTTAGGCCTGGAATGGAGGGTAGCTGGAGGGTCTAGGAACCTAGAAGGTGTTCTGAATTGTTTGCATTTCAGTGGAGGATCTGTAGCAGATCTCATAATTCAACTTGTCCTAGTACCTGTATTATAATAAGTATATGCCTTTGGTATAAAGGGGGTTTCTACTGGCGGTGTTGCCCAACAAATCTTTTAGGTACCCTACCAACCCAGACCCCTGGGAGGACCTGAGAATTAGATCTCCATATAAAGGCAGAACCCCATAATATAATCCCTTTATAACTCACCCCTATATAATCCCTATATACTTCCCCATCGTCTTCTAGGGATTCTAATTTTTAGATCACTGTGGGGGTCTTGGAATTATTGCTATCATTGACAACCCCTTGTATATACCACACAGGTAGCTTGGGATGAACATTAGGGCTTTAGGGATTACAGGGTTTAGGGGGTATAGGGTTTATAGGGATACGGGTTTAGAGTTTGCAGGGTTTAGGGTTTTGTTTTCGCGGCAGACCAGCAGCTCAACACAAGCCATTACACAATAGTGCGGCAGCACAACAATCATGATGGTAGCTTCAGCGCTCGTCTTAGTGGTTGTGCTACCACTGCATCAGCCAATGTTAAATGCTGCACTAGCTTGAATCACTCCATATGTATCGGTTACGGAACTTAAAGTGACTTGCCATGGTACAGATATAGTAAATAACATTGCTCTCAGTTCGGGCAACTAATCTTGAGTTCATTAACAGCAACCCAGTACTAGCCACTGCAGGCATTGTGGATCTTGGAGGACCTGGTGAAGCAGCTACCCTTGGGTTCGACAACTGCGGCAACACCTGGTGAACTATGCTGCCAGAACTCTGTACATACTTTGTGGGACCCTAGGCTACAGATGGGTCAGGGAACCAATCTATAGATGATTACAACAGGATTATAGCAGTCATACAACGGGGAAATCGCATTGTTACCTGACTCGGGTCCGGCAAAGTGCAGCTATGAATCTCAAGTAGCAGGAAATGTTAGTGGCTCATCTGGAGATTACCGCCGTGCCCAACTGCGCAGAGGGTCCCGGTACATGTATCGTACATACTTAAGTCCCAGAAGATACCTATACAGGAACCCCTTTGAGCTCCAAGTAGAAGCCCCAAACCTATACTCTGAACAGTAAGCCGCCTAAACCCATTCTACCTAGGTATCTGGACCCTTTAGGCTGCTGTGCTGGACCCGGCGTTGCACCTTGCGCACCTTGCACAGTCAGGCAACGACCTCTAAACGGCGGCTTCCAGCAAAACCAGAGGCGGTTTAGGATGTTTTAGGGTTTACGGTTTAGGGTTTGGGGTTCGGGAGCCCGCATAATAGCCTAAACCCTAAACCCTGAAACCTAAGCAATGAGGGTCATGGTATCTTGGTGTCCCCCTGCTCATGGAGACTCCAAGATCTGCGCCTCGCCACAGCGGACAGGAAACTTTGCTTGTCCCCAAACTCCCAAAAGGTCCTAGGTACCTACATAGGGGATGCTAACCCAAACCATATTTTACATTCTTAGTATAGAAGCCCGACTTGATACCATATAGGAACTTAGGATCCTTTGGGGGTCTATCATATCCTATCCAACTAGCATGGTTGCACCTACCGATCTAGAAGTCTGTTTTGCAGGTCTAGCTGCTTTAGCCAGTGCATTGGGCTATTGCATCCGATGCATGCCAGTTTGGAGAGACTCTTGGCTGAACAGCAGGCCCGCTAGCATAGAGTGCTGTGACAGAAGCCATGACGCAGCCACCGGTGGTGCAGGGTAAGGTGGTGGGCAGATCAGCGGACATCGAGCAGCCGCATCCACACAGGGCCGCAGTCCACCCAATGCCACAACCAGAACATATGGAGGTGATGCAACTTTCATGTAGAGATGCCTGCCTTCCGCCAGAAATCAGGCTTGGGTTTGTCAAGAAGGTGTACGGAATCGTCGGGATGATGCTGGTGCTCACCTTCGGCACAAGCTTGCCTTTTGTCTTTGCCACGAAGGCGACACTCGATTTCTTCCAGCATCATGTCTGGATTCTCTACATTGTAGCTGCAGTTGTGCTGGCCCAGCTGGTTTTTGATTTGGCCATGTCCTGCCAGATGTGTTGTGGCGGCAGTAGCCTTCTGCAGAGCTACTTCTGGATGATGAAGACTGCCCCCTGGAACTACCTCTACCTCACAACCTTCTCCTTGTGCTTCGGCGTGCTTGTGGGCTTCATCTGCGCAAAGTACACCGTCCAGTCAGTTGTGCTCGTCTTTGCACTCACTGTTGTGATGATCATTGCGCTGACAATCTACGCCGTGCGCACCAAGGCAGACTTCACAGGATGCGGAGCCTACATCATGGTCTTCTTCTTAGGCAGGGGTATGTATGGGGTATACATGTCAGGGAATGGGAAAAGAAAGATAAGCTACTGTACTGTTGAGGATGTTCAGAGCCGTGATGTTTTATGGTCGTCTTCGGAGGCCTGCTGATGCTGATCCTTGTGTACTCTTTCTTCCCCGGCAGCGTCGCCATCACCAAAGTTACTGGGTTGCTGTTGAGGAGCTTAAGTTAAGTTACCGTAGTAAGGGTTCATGGCAAACAAGAGTGCTCGCGTGTTATCATAATACTTCATGAAGTTCCTCAAGCCAGCCAGGTTATTGCTGGGCTGGGAGCCATGCTCTTTGGTTTCATCATCGTTTACGACACGCAGCAGATCTTCGGGTCTGCCTCCGCCAGCTTTGGCGGTGGAAAGCGCGACATTGAATATACGATTGACATGTATGCCTTTGCTGCATGGAGCCTCTACTTGGATTTCATCAACTTCTTCCTGTACATGATTCAGCTCTTTGGGGAGCGGAGGTGAGGAAGTCTACACTTTTGTTATATGTCTGAGGTTCGGGCATCGCCCAGTAAAGCTGAGCCTCCTCCACGTATGTACAGCCCATTTCGGCGGATCTGGGATTGCATAGTCACTAGCCACCCCAGTAGTACCCTTTTTCCCTTTTTATTATGATGGGGGTCTCCCGTTTAAAGCTGAACATTGGGAAGAAGGCTTATTATGAAGGGTTACTGGGGAACCTAGGTCAGCGTAGTGTAAAGTTGACGCGAACGACTCTGCTAAGACGGAAAACATGGCCTTGAGGACGAAGTGAACCCACCACCACTTGAACATGCCAAGGTCCTCAAAGGGGAGTTATATAGGGGATCATATAGGGGAGTAGTACGGAGGCTATTCATGTAAGACTAGGAGTTTAGACCATAGCTCATATTATCCTACGTTGCTATTACAAACCCTTTAACGGTCAACGGGCCATAAATCTTTCCGGGTCCGTGTAGTCCCCAAGGGTGATGACGTGTAACTGAGCGCGCAGGGTGCTGGGTGTGGTCCTTTTGAGAGATGGAGGTTATGAATCCGAGCCTTCTAAATTTAAGGCCTAAGGGCCCAAGTACGCTGAAAGTGTGGTTTCAGGCACCAAACTCTACAGACTGAATGATTTTTGCGGTGCATCAAACCCAACTTCGTTTTTTTAGAGAGGGGGGGGGTAGTTCCACTTCGGGAAAAGTTATCCTTAGAAGATTGTTCAGAGGGACCCTTGGCCATTGATAGCCCTGAGGATCCCCATGCCACTCTCAGGTCTCTGAAGGTGTAGGGTTTAGGGTTTAAGGGTTGAGGGTTTAAGGGTTGAGGGTTTAAGGGTTTAGGGTCTAAGGGTTTAGGGTCTAAGGGTTGAGGGTTTAAGGGTTTAGGGTTTAAGGGTTGAGGGTTTAAGGGTTTAGGGTTTAAGGGTTTAGGGTTTAAGGGTTTAGGGTTTAAGGGTTTAGGGTTTCAGGGTTCCAGAATTTGT